GATAAGGAATTTATTGAATACTGAATAAACTGCGCCTGGCTTGGTTCATCCCGAGTACTAAGCTGTCCTTTATGACTTGGCCAGAATGTGCTGACTTCAAGTCAAGCCAGGCCAAGCGATCCCATCACAACTGAGTGCAGTACACACATTCGGCCAATCTTCTTCTTAGACCACAATTCTTTCTCAACTGGGGATTGTAACACAGCGCATAAATATTTCTTCCTGTGGAATAAATTGCCCGAGGCCGACAGGAAGCTGCATGCAAGTTACACACCGCCTTCCCCAAACCCAACCGTCTTCCTCCGATCATAATTCATCATCGCAGAGCAAATGGGAGACGACTTTCTTTGGCTTTAAGCAGCAGGAAGTGCCGGCTAACACAACGGCGCAATCAGCACGTTCCACTCAGCCCGAAGATCCCTTGAAACCTGCCACTAATCTATCCCCGACTCTCTGCTGGCTGTAGGTTTTTTTTTAAAGAAGCTTTAATGCCCGATGCATTAAAATAAATATACTTTTCTCCGTGTAGGAAGTCCTAACTGCTGAAACATTGATCTCGCCTGCACAGTACGTTGTCAAATTGCGCAAGGAAATTGTGCCTTGATATTTGGAGAGAGAGAGAGAGAGAGAGAGACAAATCCCCAAAGAAGATGACGCTGGAATTTTTAAAAATAAAAAACGGATGCATTTATTTGTCTGAAATGGTATAGGCTCTCCTGCTTGAGCAGGGGGTTGGACTAGAAGACCTCCAAGGTCCCTTCCAACTCTATTTCAACTCTGTTTTTCTGGTATTCTGCTATGGAGATGGAGGGAGGGAGGAGGGAGGGAAGGAAGGAAGGAAGGAAGGAAGGGGAAACTGAGGGAGGAAAGGGAGGGATGAAGGAGGGAGGGAGGAAGGAAGGAAGGAAGGAAAAGGAGGAAACTGAGGGAAGAAAGAGGAGAGGGAGGGAGGGAAGGAAGGATGGAGGGAAGGAAGGAAGGAAGGAAAAGGAGGAAACTGAAGGAGGAAAGAGGAGAGGGAGGGAGGGAAGGAGGGAAGGAAGGAAGGAAGGAAGGAAGGAAGGAAGGAAGGAAGGAAGGAAGGAAGGAAGGAAGGAAGGAAGGAAGGAAGGAAGGAGAAAACTGAGGGAGGGAAGAGGAGAGGAAGAGAGGGAGGGAAGGAAGGAAATGGGAACTGGATTTCTTTTTTTACATTTTCGATCTCATTTGCTTCACGTTAAAATATTATTAAATGCCTCTCAATCCAGAAGGAAGAACATTTACGCACGTGTAACAGATTGGGAATCCCTGATTCTCCTGTAAAGGGTCTTGTTCTAAAGACCAGATACAAGTACCGATAAAAGCCAGAATTTTCCTAACCTCTTAAAAGCCCCCAGGACGGCTTTACAATCAGACAGAGAGAAAGTGCGAAGTCTACACCAGCATGGAAAGAACCGAACTCCCCTAATTTGTCATTAAAAAAACCAAAAAAACAAAAGAACCCCCTGCACATTGGAGAAGAACGGGAACGCTTAAAAATAAATCTGTCTCCTGTTTCGCAACCCTTGCAAATATAAAACCAAACTAAAATGGGAGGAAATTTGCTGGAAGCCTCAAATCAAAGCCAAACCTGCTTATCTCAGCCATACAGTGCAGGGGAACGTATCGCTGGTCAGGATTGAAACCCAAATCCCCGCGGTATTAATTAGACTATAATGGGATGGCGATGTTGGTTTATGAGGCAATAATGCAGCTCCCGAGAGGCCGAAGTGAAGCCACGGTGGAGTCTGTTATCCCAATAAAAGGGCCGTCTGAATTTCCAGGAAAGGAGAAGCAAAGACTGGCAAAAGTGAAGCGTCCATTCCAAGAACCGTCAAAAATATTCAACTATAGTTAAGAAGCACCAATTATCTATCTTATGGAATAGTTACTGAATAACAGAGCTGGAAGGTACCTTGGCAGTCATCTAGTCCAACCCTCTGCTCAAGCAGGAAACCCTATACCCTTTCAGACAAATGGTTGTCCAATCTCTTCTTAAAAACCTCCATTGATGGAGTACCCACAACTTCTGGAGGCAAGCTGTTCCACAGATTAATTGTTCTCGATGTCAGGAAATTCCTCCTTAATTCTAGGTTCGTTCTATCCTGGCTTAGTTTCCATCGTTGCTTCTTGTCCTGCCTTCTGATGCTTTGGAAAATAAATTGACTCCCTCTTCTTTGTGGCAGCCCCTAAAATATTGGCAGATGCTATCCCCTCACCCCTGGTCCTTCTTTTCATTAAACTAAACATACCCAATTTCTTGCTATCTTTCATCGTATGATTTAGCCTCCAGCCCCCTGATCATCTTTTCTGCTCTTCTCTGCACTCTTTCCAGAGTCTCAACATCTTTTTTTTTATAAGGTGCTGACCAAAACTGGACGCAGTTTTCTAAGTGTGGACTTACCAAGTTTTTTATAAAGTGGTACTAATACTAATGTATGGCTGTGAAAGTTGGACCATAAGAAAGGCTGAGTGCCAAAGAATGGAGGCTTTGAATTACAGTGCTAGAGAAGACTCCTGCGAGTCCCCTGGACTGCAAAGTGATCCAACCAGTCAGTCCTAGAGGAGATCAACCCTGACTGCTCTTGAGAAGGCCAGATCCTGAAGTTGAAACTCAGATACTTTGGCCACCTAATGAGAAGGAAGGACTCCCTGGAGAAGAGCCTGATGCTGGGAAAGATGGAGGGCAAGAGAAGAAGGGGACGACAGAGAATGAGGTGGCTGGATGGAGTCACTGAAGCAGGAGGCGTGAGCTTCAATGGACTCCAGAAGATGGTAGAGGACAGGAAGGCCTGGAGGAACGTTGTCCATGGGGCCGCGATGGGTCGGACATGACTTCGCAACTAACAACAACAACTAATACTTCACATGATCTTGATTCTATCCCTCTGTGAATGTAACATATCTCACGGACTTTCTGCAAGAAAACCTAACAGTCTCCTACTTGACTTAACCTCCCCTTGTTAAATATTTATTCAAGGCAGATCTCTCTGTCTCTGTCTCTGTCTCTCTTCGTCAATCTTTCAGCTTATCACTATTTATTATTATTCCTCTCCTCTTTAAACGGAAAAGGCTGGGTGTTCTCAGTCCATGGGTGTATTAGGCAGAACGGTTCCAGCTCTTAACCATGGATGCGTAACAACTGCCTCCACACGAACGCCCAATCGTGAAAATACATTTTTTTCTGGGTTTCTCTGGAAGGCATTCAGCACCTCCCTGCTCCCTGCCTCTACTATGATTAAGAGAAACCAGTAAAGATCCAGGAGGCGGTCAAAAGTTTTGGTTACAGTTGAACTGTTCTTGAAAGGTCATTATTTCTTCACGCTTAATTTCTTCGGTTTTCAAAATCAATTCCTGCCATCCTGTAAAGAAGAATGAAGTTGCCGGATTCATTTAAGGCATCTAGAGTGGGAACCGAGACTTCGGCCACAAGACAAGTGTGGGGAAGATTTTTTTAAAAAAAGTAATTACTTCTAAGGGACTGCCAGGAAGAAGAAGGGGATCGACCTATTCTCCCAGGCATCTGAAGGCCAGACAAGAGGGAAACTTATCAAAGAGAGAAGCAAGCTAGAAATGAAAGATTTCCTGACCGTGAGAACAATTAATCAATGGAACGACTTGAGTCCAGAGGTTGTGGGCGCTCCAACACTGGAGGTTCTTAAGAAGAGACTGGACAACCATTGGTCTGAGATGTTATAGGGTTTCCTGCTTGAGCTGGGGTTGGATTAGAAGATCTCCAAGGTCCCTTCCAACTCTGTTCTCCTAATTCTATTCTATTCTATTCTATTCTATTCTATTCTATTCTATTCTATTCTATTCTTCTACTCTACTGTACTCTACTGTACTCTACTGTACTCTACTGTACTGTACTGTACTCTACTGTACTGTACTGTACTGTACTCTACTCTACTCTTAAAAAGAGGCCAGACAGTCTGAGATGGTATACGGTCTCCTGCTTGAGCAGGGGGTTGTACTAGAAGATCTCCAAGGTCTCTTTCAACTGTGTTCTCCTATTTCTATTCTATTCTATTCTATTCTATTCTATTCTATTCTATTCTATTCTATTCTATTCTATTCTATTCTATTCTTCTACTCTACTCTATTCTTCTACTCTACTCTACTCTACTCTACTCTACTCTACTCTATTCTTAAAAAGAGGCCAGACAGTCTGAGATGGTATACAGTCTCCTGCTTGAGCAGGGGGTTGGACTAGAAGACCTCCAAGGTCTCTTTCAACTGTGTGATTCTGTTATTCTGTAAATGCCATTCCTTCAAAAGACAACACCAACATTTGGGATGTCACAAAGCAATGACATTGATTGATGTCTGGGCTTCCTTTCACTCACTGGTCTGCAACTGCTTGAGGCCTGATCTAGTGGCACAATCTTGAGGCTGCCAAGTAGACCTACAATGCTTCGAGGCACACGCAAATGTATTAATTATTTGAACTCCCTGATGCATCCACAGGAACACCCCCTGCTCCAGAAAATTCCTTCCAACTAAATATGGTAGTGCATCAGAGGGGAAAAGGTTGTGGGAAGGTTAACCGCTTGTCATTCTATATTAGCCTTCAACATTTGCTTAGACTGGAAAACAGTAAAAGAGGCAGCAATTTAAAAAAAAAAGGGACTGGTACTTCATATCACATCAGAAATCCAACGTTGTGCCACAAACGCACCCAGGAATATCCCACTGAGACTTAATTTTATGCATTTAAAATATTTTTCATGACTGGTCATCTTACATGTTGCAACTCTGGGTGGTTCACAAAACAACAATAACACAATTGTTTAGGGTGGTTAGCTATAATAAAATCATAATCCTCCTCCTCCTCTTCTCCTCCTCCTCCTCCTCCTCCTCCTCCTCCTCCTCCTCCTCCTCCTCCTCCTCCTCCTCCTCCTTCTTCTTCTTCCCTCCTGACGATATAAGTGAAGGTATCTCCCATGGGTTCCCATGTAGGCCAGTCTTCTATTTCAACTTACCTTTGCTACGTCGGCGGCTTCGGTACTGTTCGGTGTAGCAAGTCAACTGGGTCTCGTCATCTGCTTCGGAACCGGAGTTACCCTTGGTGTGACCGAATCCAACACCGCCTACGGAGAAAGAAAATGAATCAGCGCTTCCATGCCCTCCAAAGAACATTTCCATGCAAGAGGTGAAAAATGCAAGAGTCTCCCTCTCTTATACATCTTATGCGAAATTAGATAGCAATAGCACTTAAGCACTTAGACTAATATATTGCCCTTTGTCCATCTCCTTCCTTCCTTCTTTCCTTCTTTCCTTCTTTCCTTCCTTCCTTCCTTCCTTCCCAAGCAATAGCACTCAGACTTATATATTGCCCCATAGTGTTTTACAGCCCTCTCTAAGTGGTTTACAGAGTCTATGTCCTATGGCCTCCCAACAATTTGAATCCTCATTTTACCGACCTCAAAAGGATGGAAAGCTGAGGCAACCTTGAGCTGATCAGGATCAAACTCCTGGCAGTGAGCAGAGTCAGCCTGCAATACTGTATTTTAACCACTGTACCACCATGGCAGATAGATAGATAGATAGATAGATAGATAGATAGATAGATAGATAGATAGATAGATAGATAGATAGATAGATAGATAGATAGATAGATAGATAGATAGATAGATAGATAGATAGATAGATGTTCTCCATTCCATATTCTACTCTACTCTACTCTATTCTATCCCATTCCCTATTCTACTCTACTCTACTCTACTCTACTCTACTCTACTCTACTCTACTCTATTCGTTTGCCAGACTCGATGGAAGGCGTCAGGTAGGGGACGACAGATCCATACTAATTGCAATTAGATCTCAAGAATCCTAGGGTTTATTTTTCCTCCCCAACTTGTTTTCCTGTTAGTTTAATTTAAAAATGCTCCCGGCGATATAACCAAATGTAACTCAGGGAACAAATAACCCGAGCTGACTCGGAGGCCTTTCGTCGGATGCCGTGTTTTTCTTCACTTGCGACAATGGTTTTAATTTGGATCAATTTTTGCATCAAAGAGGCACACCCACGCTCTCTGTGTGCTGCATTATACAACTGGAAGATTGTGTTCTATTTAGTACCATTTTCTCTATTCCTTTTTCCCCCTTTTTCTTCAGAACGGCAGGATTTGTCCTCAGTCTGAAGTTATCTGTCCTGTATCTTTTATCTGCAATAAGATACTTTTAGATTTTTATTTTTATTTTTTAAGGGGGAAAAAAAAGGAAGGAGGAGGTTGGGGAAAAAAATGCTTATGGTCAAAAAAATCTCCCTAACGTTGTTGTATTCAAAGAGAAACGGCTCATTAGCTTGGTTGACTGCTAACTTTTATTCTTTGGCTAGGGTCCAGGAGCCTTTCTTGCTGTGATGAGTTGGCGTTCAGCCAAGTTGTTAGTAACTCCTAATCTCGGAAGCCATTAGGAGCAAAGTTTGCGCAGAGACAAGGACTGCAGCTTCGGTGACAGACAGTAATTGAATTAAGATTTTTCAAAGAATTACGACTCCAGAGGCAACCTGGTTAATGCAAAGGCTTCGTGCAGCCAGGGCCAACTGTCTAACCTGCATTCAGCTAGCATTCGTTTGCATTTTTCCTACAATTCAACCACCCGGCTCAGGGGACTGCTTTGCTCTTTGCATATGAAGCTTCTATTTGCAACCCAAGCCTAATAAAATGGATGTTAATAGATCTAAAAACGGGTTCCTAGCTGTATTTTATACTCCAGAGCGGTGTTTCTCAATCTTAGCAGCTTGAAGATTGGGGGGGGGGGAAGGGGGCTTTCAATTCCTGGAGGCCATAGCCACCACGTAGGTAGAAATATTAAAGCAAGCTGGCAATGGGTTTCTGAGAATTGAAATCCACCCATCTTAAAGTTTGTGGAGAGGAGGAGGAGGAGGAGCTGTGGAGTCCTTGATGCTGTATGAACTTGGTGTTTTCTTGCAGATGTTTCATTACCCAACTAGGTTACATCATCAGTGCTAGAAAGGAGTGAAGTTTGTGGAAAGGTGGAGGAGGAGGAGGAGGAGGAGGAGGACTGTGGGGTGCTTGGAGCTGTCTGAACTTGGTATTTTCTTGCAGGCGTTTCGTGACCCAACTAGGTAACATCATCAGTGCTAGAAGGGAGGGGAGTTTGTGGAGAGGAGGAGGAGGAGGAGGAGGAGGAGGAGGAGAGTGACTCTACGGTACTTGATGCTCTCTAAGTTTGGATTTTTTCTTGCAGACGTTTTATGACCCAACCTGAGCAACATCATCAGTGCTTCTCTTCATACATTTGAGGATGTCGGAGGAAAAAGCACCAACCCCATTTTTGTCTCTCGGGCTGAGATGAGCACAGCTTCCCTTCTGTTCCTCTTTTAGGCTAAAAATACAGAGGAAGCCACATTTCATGCACCGACTGCAGCCTACACAATCTGTGTCTGTGTGTGGGGAGGGGGGCGTCTGACGGGGCGCTAGTTTCCTTTTAAGAAATAAATTTGCTCCGTTTTTTTCCCCAGCGCTCAGCCAGGAAAGCAGCCCCACGGCTCCATTTATTTCCCCTGGACCCCTGCAGCTCCGTCCAGCTCCAGCCCCCAAACCTCACCAGGCCTCTTCGGAGAACCGCCGCTACAGTAAAAACCAGTTAGAAAAATCCAATCAACTTAACATCTCACTACGCCAGTTTTCCTCTCCACGGAGCTGCTGTTTGCCATAAATAGAGGCGGGTGCTTTTTTTTTTTTCCCCTTGCAGGAAACAACCCTCCCCCCAATTCTCCCACCCACCCCCCAAATAAATAAATCAGATCCGAGATTTCTGTTTAGCCGAGGAGCACTCAACTCGTAAATAGCCGTGTGCGGGAAGGTGCATTAATGTCTGCTTGATTAAGGTAATTGATCAGTTAAGGGTAAGGTCACGGGCTGGTTTGTGAGTGATGGGTCAGAATGCCAACTGTGTGTATGTGACACCACCAAATGCCCTGGAGGAAAGAGCAGTTTCTCTTCTGGAGAAGCCCAGCCTGGAACGCGGGAGTCTCTTGCCCTGCGCAGTTCCCTTTGGCTGCCGCGTGCATCGGCCGTGATGGATGGTGCTGACAGGTTACATTATCCAGGCTGCACATCTTTAGAAAGCTGCCGACAGGGATCCTGCATTTTCTGATTGTGTAGAACCTGTGTGGGTTTTAAAAGGTTGGGGAAGGGAACAGGAGGGGAGGGGAGTGTTGGCGAGGCACAGGCGCCCGAGCCGAGGGAAACAGGCCTGTGCAAACAGCTCCGAGTCGCTCTGCTGCCTTGGAAGAGAGCTAAAGGGCAGAGCGTTGACAGCTAGGGAGGCAACATCTGTGCCAGATGCTCGGCCTCATCTGCCTCTCTAAGGACTCTCTTCCAGCCTTCCTCACCTCTTCCATCTTCAAAGTACAAGTGGAACACTGCTTGGTCCCAGAGCATCTTTTTTCAAAACAGGGGTCTTCAAACTGGGCCCTCTTATGACTTGTGGGCTTCAATTCCTAGAATTCCTCAGCCAGGCACGCTGGCTGAGGAATTCTGGGAGTTGAAGCCCACAAGTCATGAAGGGGCCACAGTTCCCCCCTGCTGGCTGAGGAATTCTGGGGGTTGAAGTCCTCGAGTCACGAAGGGGCCATAGTTCCCCCATGCTGGCTGAGGAATTCTGGGGGTTGAAGTCCGCAAGTCACGAAGGGGCCATAGTTCCCCCATGCTGGCTGAGGAATTCTGGGAGTTGAAGTCCACAAGTCATGAAGGGGCCATAGTTCCCCCATGCTGGCTGAGGAATTCTGGGGGTTGAAGTCCTCGAGTCACGAAGGGGCCATAGTTCCCCCATGCTGGCTGAGGAATTCTGGGAGTTGAAGTCCGCACGTCACGAAGGGGCCATAGTTCCCCCATGCTGGCTGAGGAATTCTGGGAGTTGAAGTCCGCAAGTCACGAAGGGGCCATAGTTCCCCCATGCTGGCTGAGGAATTCTGGGAGTTGAAGTCCACAAGTCATGAAGGGGCCCAGTTTGAAGACCCCTGTTTTAAAAGTCTCCAGTGACGGAGCACCCACAACATCTGGAGGGAAGCCATTCCATTGGTTAATTGTCCTCACTGTCAGGAAATTTCTCCTTAATTCCAGGTTGCTTCTCTCCTTGATTACTTTCCATCCATTGTTTCTTGTCCTGTCCTCTGGTGGTTTGGAAAATAGATTGACCCCCTCTTTTTTTGGGGGGGGCAGTCCCTCAAATACTGGATATGTCCCTCCCTAGTCCTTCTAGATCTTCTAGACCGGCCACACCCAATTCCTGCAACCGTTCTTCATACGTTCCTGTCTCCAGGCCTTTAATCATCTTAGTTGCCCTTCTTGGCATTTTTTCCCCAAAGTCTCAACACCTTTTTTGTAATGTGGTGACCAAAATTGGATGCAGAATCCCGGGGGTGGCCTTACTAAGCATTATAAAGTGATACTAATACTTCACGTGATTTTAATTCTATGTCTCTGTTTATACAACCTTATTCCAGTTTGGTTGGGTTGGTTTTTTTTTTGTTTTTGTTTTTTTGCGTGCCTGCAGCATTTTACTTCGAAGATAAAAAAATCTACCAGCTGCTCTTCAGCGGGAGTTTCTTTGTGTTATTTTCCTTCGGGCTTCCTTGCAGGAACTGGTGCTTGTTCAAAACAAAATTGTAAACCTTTAACCAATTCTTGCCTGACTCCACATCACCTTGTGTCTGCATTCTGGCATGCTTCTGGTAGCCAGCCTGTAATTCACTAGAAGCGCTAATAATGAGTCTATGGCTTGAATGTTGTGGACAGATCAGACAAAGGCGAGTCCTTTGGATAAAAGCCTGATGTTGGGAAAATTCAAAGGCAATTGAGAAAAAAAGTTGGCTGAAGATAGGACGGTTGGGAAGTGTCATGGGTGACCCAACGAGGAATTTGAAAGAACACAAGGAAGCAATTATGGATGGCATTAAAGGTACCATCACTTGATGCAAGCTGTTTTAGGGAACTGGAGGCTAAAACGTATGAAGAACAGTTGCAGGAATTGGGTATGTCTAGTTTAATGAAAAGAAGGACCAGGGGTGACATAATAGCAGTCTTCCAATATTTGAGGGGCTGCCACAAAGAAGAGGGAGTCAAGCTATTCTCCAAAGCACCTGAAGGCAGGACAAGAATCAACGGATGGAAACTAATCAAGGAGAGAAGCAACTTGGAATTAAGGAGAAATTTCCTGACAGTTAGACAGTTAATCAGTGGAACAATTTGTCTCCAGAAGTTGTGAGTTGTCCAATACTGCAGGTTTTTAAGAAGAGGCTGGACAACCATTTGTGTGAAATGGTATAGGGTTTCCTGCCTGAGCAGGGGGCTGGGCTAGAAGACCTCCATGGTCCCTTCCAACTCTGTTGCACTCTTAAAACTGCCTTTTGCAATTGACCAATGGGGAGGTTGACACTATCAATGGTATTCAAGTGGTACTCCAGATGTTTTGGAATTGCACCCGAGGCACCTAGCTCTTAGTACTACCTTTCCTTTCTTTTGCCACTGTTCTTTTCCTTATATTTGTCGTGCTCGTCACCTCGAGTTCTTTGTAAGAATCATAAAGGCAGATACAAATAAATAAATAAACGCATTGGTATGTTGTGACTTTTTCTCCAGTTCTTCTTCTTCTCTTCTGCTGTCTCCAGGGACTGCCACATCCCTTATCCAGACTTATTTTTGATCTTTCTTATTGACCGTTGTTAAGTCTGAGGTATCATGCATCAGGGACTTGTCTGTTTGAATTCTAAAATCCCAGAGCACATTATTATTATTATTATTATTATTATTATTATTATTATTATTATTATTATTATTATTATTATTATTATTATTATTATTATTATTATTATTATTATTATTATTATTATTATTATTATTATTATTTCAAAAATGTAAAAGCACAGCTGCCAGTTCTTTCTCTGTGGTTGGCCCTTGGCATCAAATGCTTCTGATTATTATTATTATTATTATTATTATTATTATTATTATTATTATTATTATTATTATTATTATTATTATTATTATTATTATTATTATTATTATTATTATTATTATATGCACGACAACGTCAAACCACAACTGCCCGTTCTTTGGTTGGCGCTGGCCTCCATTTGCATCTTCCATAATTAATCTTAATTGTTATTATTATTATTATTATTATTATTATTACTATTTGATGTTAATAAGGACAGCAATCGTTCGCGGAAGCTCAGCATTAATTAAATTCCCTGTAAAAATAATTACACGCAGCTCCATCAGGGATCAGGGGGGTTGACTGTCACTACACGGAAGCAGTGCGGAATTCACTCTCGGTTGGTGTCACCATCGCATGGCTGTTAGGAGAAAATAAATGCATCCCAAATGGACAATTTCATTTAGAGAGGTTTAAAAAAAAAGAAGAAGAAAAAGAAAAAGAAGAAGAAGAAGGGGGAGGAAAAAAGGGGAGAGGGAATGGGATTCTGAAGGATTAATGAGGCAAAGGGGTTTATGTTTGCAATTGGATGCAAACTGCAAACATTGTAAGTTGCTAAATCATCACTTAACCTTAATGTTCCATGGAGTTCCAATCACTCACATGCCCGAGGGCCAATTAAGCATGAGCCGTGAAAGGAGGAACATTTCAAATAGGAGTGATGTGGAAGAGAATAACAGAGTAACAGAACTGGAAGGGACCTTGGAGGTCTTCTAGTCCAATCCCCTGCTCAAGCAGGAGACCCTATATGATTCCAGACAAGTGGTTGTTCAATCTCTTCTTAAAAACTTCCAGCGTTGGAGCATTCACCGCTTCTGGAGGCAGGTTGTTCCACTGGTTAATTGTTCTCACTGTCAGGAAGTTTCTCCTTAGTTCCAGGTTGCTTCTCTCCTTGATTAGTTTCCATCCATTGCTTCTTGTCCTGCCTTCAGGCGCTTTGGAAAATAGCTTGACTCCCTCTTCTTTGGGGCAGCCCCTGAGATACTGGAACACTGCTGTCATGTCCCCCCTCATCCTTCTCTTCATTAAACTAGACATCTCCAATTCCAGCAACCGTTCCTTATATGTTTTAGCCTCCAGTCCCCTAACCATCTTTGTTGCTTTTCTCTGCACGCTTTCCAGAGTCTCAGCATCAATTCATTTTTGTTAAGGCTTTCTGTTCAACTGACTGACAAAGCAATTGATTTTCCAATCATTTTTTTTCCCCTTTGCTTCAAAATTGTACGCTTACCTCGATGCCGGTTCCTGCGTTTCCGCCTCCCGACAGAGGCGCTACGCGCAGCGGGCTGCAACTGGCCAATCTCGATGGGTGTGTTGGTCCGAAAACTCTCCTTGAATTTCTGCATCAGGGTCTCCACTGTTTCCTGAGACACCTCTGTAGCTGAAAGGTGGAGAGACAATGGAAAGGTTGAAGGGGTTTCATTTCTCTACTGTCTCCAGTTTGCTCTGTGTTTTTGTTCCTTGCCTGTGTTGGTGGTTCTTCCTGCCAAGTTCCTTCCCTCCTATTAAGGAACTATCAAGAGAGCAGACCCCTCTCCCTTCTAGCGCTGGTGATGTTACCTAGTTGGGTAATGAAACGTAATGAAGTTCTATTCTATTCTATTCTATTCTATTCTATTCTATTCTATTCTATTCTATTCTACTCTATTCTATTCTATTCTATTCTATTCTACTCTACTCTACTCTATTCTATTCTCCATTCCATATTCTATTCTATTCTATTCTATTCTATTCTATTCTATTCTATTCTATTCTATTCTATTCTATTCTATTCTATTCTATTCTATTCTATGAGGAACTTCCTAACAGTGAGGACAATTAACCAGTGGAACAACTTGCCTCCAGAAGTTGTCAGTGTTTCAACACTGGAAGTTTTTAAGAAGAGACTGGACAACCATTTGTCTGAAATGGTACAGTCTCCTGCTTGAGTGGGGGTTGGACTATAAGGCCTCCAAGGTCCCTTCCAACTCTATCATTCTGTTGTTCTTAGTTTGCTTGCCCCAGAGGCCCATTCTGCATTTCAGCCAGAGGAAGATCAGCAAGGGAACCGTCCACACGTCTCCAAGGCAGAGTCTCAAGGTAAGAGGGACGATAGATCTGGGACAGATTGAAAAAATAATACCACTTTCCACACTTGCCCTGCAGTGACCCAGAGCTACGTTAACTAGGAATTGCATTCTGATTTAGCAAGCAGGCACCCAGAAGGTTTGGCAACAGGGTAGACTATGACCTGAAAATGTTAATTCTCTTTTCAGTGAGAAGCTGAGCCCGTTTTCATAAAGAACCTCAGGCACAGCTTGGCAAAATAACAAATGTGTGAACTGAAGACAGGAACACTGCTGGATGCCAAGTTGGAGTGAGTGAGTGAGTGAGTAGGGAGGAAGGAAGGAAGGAAGGAAGGAGGAAGGAAGGAAGGGTGAGAGAGAGAGGGAGGAAGGATGGAAGGAAGGAAGGAAGAAAGGAAGGAGGAAG